CTTTGCCTACCTGAATGTGACACAAAAAGAGAATGCAGAATATCACTTACCGGGGTTGGACCTCGAATAAACCTCCAAGTAAGAAATCTAATTNCATTACAACCACTACATCTTTGCCTACCTGAATGTGACACAAAAAGAGAATGCAGAATATCACTTACCGGGGTTGGACCTCGAATAAACCTCCGAGTAAGAAATCTAATTGGGAGAAGTCATCAGTTTCTGATCGATACAGGAGCAGAGATTAATCTCATCGAAAGAAGAGCCATCAAACCAGGCGCAAGGATCTGGTCACCAATTGTCCAGTACCTAACGGGGGTCACTGAAGACGCCCTACCAACCTGTGGATTCATTTACCTGAAAATCCTTGGGGCATCTGCTCCCTTTCACACAGTTGATTGCAAGCTGCCAGTGAAAGGATCGGGTCTTCTAGGTCTGGAATTCCTGAAAAAGGAGAAAGTTGACATCAGGTATCTCCAAAGGACCATAACGACACCGAAAAGGCCGAACCTTCCCATTCACTGGTATGAGTACCATCGATCATACGGGCCAACAATAGTCCCGGCTAGAACTAGGATGGTTATAGGAATTCCAATTGAAAATTTCGACCTCGCCGTTGGCTACCTTCCCGAAGTTGACACCTCGACAGGAATATTTTTAGGTCAGAGTGTCGTCACAGTCTCAGATGGGATAGCCTGTGTAGTTGCCATCAATACCACCGAAGACCCAATTGAACTAACTATTCCTCCCCAGCGTATCGAACCATTTGAAGAAGAAATGGACGGTCCAGGTACTGACCCTGCTGTGTGCAGCATGGCCCTTTCTTCCGATGAGATCGAAGATATTCACCAGAGGACAGCTGAGATCCTCCGAACGCTTCCTGACCAAGATCTCAACCATTTTGAGAAAAAGAAAGTTATTGAACTGGTGACTGCATATGATGACGTTTTCCATCTTCCTGGGGATAAACTAGGAAAAGCAAAACATTTTAAATGCAAGATCCGTACAGTCGATGCCAAACCAGTGCACAAACGGCAGTATAAGTTTCCAAATCATCACAGGGATGAAATTAAGAAGCAATGCAGAGCTCTGGAAGAGCAAGGGATCATTCGACCTTCAATTTCACCTTATAATTCTCCCTTGTGGATCGTCCCTAAGAAGGCGGATTCGAAGGGAAAGAACCGATGGAGAATGGTGATAGATTTTCGCTGCCTGAACCAGAAAACAATTGGCGATTGTTATCCTCCGCCAGATATATCCGAGATCCTATCTCTACTCGGAGGGGCGAAATACTTCAGCGTCTTCGATCACGCGAGTGGTTTTGACCAAATAGAAATGGATGAAAAAGACAGCGAAAAAACTGCTTTCACTGGACGCGATGGGCATCATGAGTATGCACGGATGCCTTTTGGACTCCAAAATTCACCACCTATATTCCAGAGGATGATGGACCATGTTTTGTCAGGATTAAAAGGGACTGAATTGTATGTATATCTAGATGACATCGTGGCTTATTCCAAAACATTTGAAGCCCACAGTGAAAGGCTTGAACATCTATTCGAGTGTCTCAGAGAGAACGGACTGACTCTTCAACCGGATAAGTGCAAATTTTTCATGAAAGAAGTTGCGTATTTGGGGCATATCATCAATGAACAGGGAATTCATCCAGACCCATCAAAAATCAAAGCACTTGTTGACATACCAATACCAACAAATCTTCATGGGTTGAGAAGATTTTTGGGTTTCATCAATTACTATCGTAGATTCATTCAAGACTGTAAATAATGCTGAAATTTCAGAACCACTCAACCATCTATTGAAAAAGGATATCAAATACGACTGGAGTAATGACCAGACCGTGGCGTTCCAGATGCTCAAAAATGCTATCACGGAGGATTCACTGCTATATCATCCAGACATGGATGAACCGTTCATAGTACATGCATCAAGCACTAAAAAGGGTCTAGGTGCCATATTAAGCCAAAAGGACGAAGAAGGAGACGAACATCCAATACTGTATGCATCCCGAACACTACGAGGAGCAGAATCCACTCGATATACACCTGCAGAAAGAGATTGTTTGGCTGTGGTCTATGCAGTAGATCAGTTCAGACCATACATCTTTGGGGTACACTTCACTGTCGTCACTAACAGTCCTGCTCTCAATTGGTTGATGGATTCCAGCAATCCCACAAGGCAAGTAAAGTGGAAAACTTTCTTGAACGATTATGACTTCAATGTTGAAATTAAAAAGCAACAGAAAGCTCAGCTTGCAGATGCTTTTGCGAAAAATCCTTTAGAAGCCGAGGAACCTGAAGAGGTAGTGATCGCCATATGTCTACCAACCTTCAAACCACCATACCCGATCCTGAAAGCTCCCCATTCAATCAGAGACCGGAACCTCAGGGTTCGATTCCATTCAGAACCTGACCCAGGTCCCAAGCCAGCATCAGGTGCATCAGTAGCTGACAGAGTCAGAACACGACGATTGATTGAATTGGAATCTGGTAGGAGAACTCCTATATCTTATCGGGATAATAGAGAATATCGATCAGCATTGAAGAAGAAGACACAAGGAACTGATACCGCCACTCCAAGCGAGACTTCACCAAATATCAGGATGAAACCCTCAGAAGCGCCCACTACTATTGAGGCGACAGAGACTCTTGAAATAACTCCTCCTGAGAAACCAAACAGAGAGGTTCCAGATGATGCTGCAGACCCATTAGACTCCTTGGAGAATAGCTCAACAAGCCCTCTTCCTAAAGCAGAAGAAATAAAGAGCCCTAGTAATACAGAAGATTCAATGTCAGCTGAAACGGAAGAAAGTTCAGGAAGTACCGAAAACTTTCAAACACCAAAAGAAACCTTCGATGAGACCAATGTATCTGTAGAGGGAACCCCCATTGAGGATCATGTTTTTGAAGCCGAAGACTCTGTAATGGATCCACTTCTAAACTCAAGAATAATCGAATCCGAAGCCTTGACGGAAGAACAAGATAATGAAGATGAAGAGCTGACAGAGGCTGAAACAACAGCATCGAACGGATTACAACTCTTTGAAAAACTGCTCGAGAAAGCTGATGAAACTCAAAATGAAAGCTTCCCCGAGTGGGATTACTACCAACCGCCAACTTTATACCAGTTGAAAAAAACAAACCTGAGCACTGTTTTTCTAGGAGAACTACATGAATCTACCCGTTTATTCGAACAAAAAATAGCTGAATTTGAAGGACGATCTAATTCCCTAATTGATCTTACTGATGAGCTTTCGGACTATAGAAATGGGTCCTCGGGGGTAGAAGAAGCTATCAACAGGGTTTCCCATTTCTCTGATGAACTACCTAAGCCTATGACTATCACACCATCCTCAGTTACCCGAGGTAACCTCAAAAAGATCCAACCGAAACAAGACCCCACGTCAGAAGAGGAGAGACAGGAAGATATGATCAGCATTCCTCTCGACGATGCTTGTGTAACTGCATCCAACATTCAGGGGTCCAGAGATGGACTGATCTTTACTAGAGGTAATCTGGCACACTTCCTTGCTGCTGACACAGAGCCAACTAAACAAAATACCAAACTGTTGAGGGATCTGAATTTCATCAACCTGGACCACATCAGAAAACTCAAACCACAAGTAGGTCAAGTCGTAGTGACCAAATGCGGCAAATTCTTCACGTTCACTCTCATTGTGAAGCAATAGGATTTTGAGAAAGTCAAAAATAACAATCTAAAAATTTGTTTGACCAACCTGAAGGGAGCCTTGATAAAATATCAAATCAGCGCAATAAGGATGGTGAGTCAGGGAGATGAAATCGATGAAGATTTGAGAATTCGATTTTTACTAGAAAAAGAATTCCAAGCACAACCCATGACCATCACCTTGTGCCACGGGACTGTTAGAATGCCTCCAGAAGCATTGAGACCCGAAATAATCAAGGAGTGCCATGAAACCTTACCAGCAGGACATAAGGGAATTGTCAAAACATTCAACCGAATTCGAGAACGATTCTATTGGCCAGGAATGAAACAAGAAGTAGAACGCTTCATCAAGAAATGTAGAACTTGTCAACTAGAGAAGATCCGAAGGGTAAAGTTTCGCCAACCTATGTTGATAACAGAAACTCCTAGTGAATGTTTCGATAGAATTTCTGTCGACACTGTGGGCCCCCTTCCAACGACCTCAAAAGGGAATAACCACATTCTAACAATCCAGGACAATTTTTCGAAGCACTGCGTTGCTGTTCCACTTCGGGATATCAAAGCTCATACCATCGCGCATGCATTAGCTACGAAATATGTTGCTCAATTTGGATGTCCTAAAATAATTCTATTCGACAAGGGAACAAGCTTCCTCAGCAAACTCTTTGCTCAGCTAAGTAAACTCCTGAGGTTCCATCACATTACTACCTCTGGCTACAGACCGCAATCCAATGGAGCCCTGGAGAGGTCCCATTATGTTCTTGCAGAGCATCTCAAAGCATACACAGATGAGTTTAATGATTGGGACAACCTTCTTCCTTTCGCTATGCTATCATATAACACCACGATTCATAGCGCAACGAACTTCACTCCCTTCGAGTTACTCTATGGAAAAACCGCCAGAGTCCCTTCCAACTTCAGCGAGGAAGACAGCGAAATAGAGACGTATACAGATTACATGATCAAGTTGATTACTAAGCTCGAGAAAATCCATGAAATTGCGTTCCAACAACTTCAAAAAGCCAAATTGAATTCCAAGAGGATATACGATCAAACAGCGAGACCGCTGAAACTGAAAATGGGTCAATTCATCTACGTAGAAAAAGAGCCAAAGATCGGGAAACTGGATCAAGCATATACCGCCCCCTATGAAATCGTAGACATCATTGCCAAAGGAAATGTCTACTTAGAGAATGAAGACGGTCACTGATTCATGAAACACCCGAATAAATTGAAACCCTGTGAATAGAAATGAAGCTAATAAAATAACTTTCCTGATCTCCTGTTACAGAGGGATGGCAGAACAAAATCGTCAGGGTGAAGATTGGATTCATGTCTACGTAGATGGATCATGCTCTCACAATGGTACCACCAACGCCATAGGAGGAATAGGAGCGTGGTTTGGGAATAAACACCCCTTGAATACATACAAAACACTCGTAGAAGAACGCACCACCAACATCACTGCCGAAACTGCTGCTGCAATAGAAGCTTGTAAATTGTGCATACGACATGACATAAAACGAGTAAAAATCTTTACTGATTCGAAATACCTCATCAGCTGCATGACAGAACATCTAGACAAGTGGAAGAAAAATGGATGGTTGAATGCCAAAGCTAAACCTGTTGTCAATCAAAAATTATTAAAAGAACTTGACGTTCTCATGCACCAATTAGAGGTCCAACTAGAATACACCCCTGGTCATAAAGGGGTCTATGGAAACGAAAAAGCAGATGAACTGGCCAAGATTGGCTCGAGGATCTATTCCATACCCCAAATGTGAACCAGAGCTGTCACAAATTCAAAATTTACTCACAATGATCCAATAAAATTATTAATATGATTTTCAGACTAAAAGAAAAATATCTACAACATGAGAGACCGCTGGATGGTATTTGTAATCCTGATGTCACTCTGGGCAATTATACCAACAGTATTACCAGAACAAATACATCAGCTAGATGTTCTCCCACACAATCCTGGCCTGTATTACGAAAAATTTGACCAAATAAAAAGCATAAACCGTAACTGGCGACTGATTATGACCATTGATGTACAAAACTTAGCAGACCAACCACTTCTCGGACAACAAATGATAGAAAAACATTTTCAGGAATGTGTAAAGTTTCAAAAACGAAAAGTTTGTCACCAGGCCTTGGGCTTCGATAGAATGCTTGGTTTCATGAAAGAACTGAAACATATCCAAGAACATGGTAAGATGATCCTGTAATCTACTCCCAAAGACCCTCAACCTCAATCCAGACGAGGCAGATCACCATTATTAGGATTCATAGGGACGTGTTTGCCAGGGATGTGTTCGGAACTATGGATTATAACGATCATGAACACATCATGAAAGAATTAGATAAACTGTATCAAGACCAAAGATAAATCACGCATCTGATAGGAAATTCAACCCATCTAATCCAAGCAGAAATCAACTCCATGAAAGAAATCAACATTAAAAATGCAATAAAAATGAAACGAGCAGAGGAACAACTCAAGCTGCTGACCAACAAATCCAATAACGTGATCAATCATGTCTATGGACTAGAGTATGTGCAACACCTAAATCAAATAGCAATAGAAGTCGAATTTGCTGCCCGAAAATACTTGGAAATCATTCACAAGGTTGTACAATCCATCGAACATGCCAAACATGGAAAACTCAATCCTACGATCATAAACAATGAACAAATTAAAACTACAGTTACAGAAATAGAAAAGGTAATCGGAGACAGTACCATCCCTATCAGTCGAAACAAACTGGATATCAACCTATTACCATAAATCAGCAAAATTGAGACTGGATATAACAATGGGAAATTCCTAGTGATAATAATCATTCCATTATTAACACGAGATTATATGGATCTGTTCAAAATAATACCATGTAAAGTACCTCAAATGGTATTGAGAAATCAAACAGTAGCTGCCTACATCCAACCAGAAGAAGAATACATTATGACATCCAAGTTCAATTCAAGATTCGCCATGGCAAATGAAAATTATCTGAAAAAGTACATTCCTTTAGAAAACTGTCTAGCTTGCCCCAGGGGACTTCCAATGAGAAAACCAGCAACAATTCCTGCTTGCGAACATCAACTGCTTATCAACCCCGACCTTGAGCCGACCTCTGAAGCAGACAAAAATTGCAATATACGTCTGAGTAACAACCTAGATACTCAATGGATTAAGCTTACGAGTAGCTCAGGATGGCTATTTTGCACCATTGAACCCGAAAAACTAGAGTTAACTTGCCAGGGATAGGACGTCGCCCCATCACTATCAACGGCACGGGAATATTCAATTTGAATCCGAACTGTTCTGCAGAAACAAGAACAATTATATTAGAAGGCGCAGGATTAATAGAATCTCAATTACCAATGATTCACGGGTTACCTAGGACGATGAACATCTCAGAGATGGCCCCTATATTGAATGAACCCCCACAACGGATTGGATTCCTACCTCAAGTTGAACATCACTTCATCCCAGAGATTAGTAACTCCAACACCTTCGATGAATCCATGCAAGAGACTATCGAAACTGCCGAAAGAATTGGCCTTCATCATCAAGAAGAATATGATCATGAAATCTTCACAGCAGCTAGTTGCGGAATCACTGGAATCTTCTCAATAACGGCAATAATAGGAGGAATAATAGCCTACAAGAAAGGTATCAACATCATCTCTTCAATTGGTTACTGTTGTCACAAAAGAAATCGCAAAACTGAAACAAAAATAACAAATTCAAAACACTGCAACAAATCAAAATCTAATAACGAACGCCTAGACGACTTAGAGTTGTCGACTATCACAATTCCGACAATATCCTCAAGACTATCCATACCAGCACTTCCAGCTCCATCACCCACAGTTCAAGAAATAGCACCAGGGTCAGTAGTAGAAATACCGCTGAGATCGGGAGTCACTATCAACTATGTCTAAAATAAAAAATAAAAATAAAAAAATGAAAAAATAAAATAAAAAAATATATAATAATAATATTAATAATAATGATAATAATAATAATAAAATGTAAATAAATAAATAAGCAAATGAAAGATGTTAATAATAACAATAATAATTATTATTATTGTCATTACTATTATTCCGTCATAATAATAGGGCGGTAGTGATAATTATGAATACTCTAGCACATTGCATGAGTACAAGTAGTATATTGCAGACATACACATTGTATAAGTAGGATAAATATGAAAAAAAACGTAAAGGATGTCCACATCGCGATAGGGAAGAATGCGCCTCCTCTTTCAATTTCATCAGTTATTCAGAGAAAACTTTCAAAATTGACGCTAACTTCGATTAACCAGGTGCCAACACTGAGCCAACCTTAGTCCGACATTCCCGAAATCCTCGAGTCGACCCAAAAATCCTTTCCGATGATATGGCCTGCTAATTCAAAATTACTCCGTCACTTCCTCTCCCCTTTTCCCCATCATCGATAGCAAGAGACAGGGCTAACTCGGCGGGCTGAATAATAAAAGGAAATATATATATTGTGACGTATTTTCTTACCTCTGCGGACGGTGAAAAATACGCAGCCCTCAGCGACCAAACAACGAAAAGAAAGTTGGGCGCCAGCACGGGTGAACCGTGCAATTCAAACAACAAATTAAATCGACAATTATTCGAGACGAAAGAACAACCTCCGACAGCTCAGACAACCGTGGTGGCGGCTGGGTTCTCGATACAAATGGTTGTTCTGGGGTTTCCGAAATGACTTGGTTTTCTTATCTAACAAATTATCCAAAAGTGCAATAATCCGGGGAATAAATAATTTATTCAATAAACCCCCTTGTTCATTTCATTCCAAATCACCCCTCAGAAAATTAATAACACCAATTTTCAATAAGAGCTAAAAACTCGATACACTAGAAAATCCCTAACCAACGATTGGTCCAAGATAATAAAATACTAGTCAGTCAAAAGAATAAGTTCAATCAAAATTACGAAATCATAAATAAAGTCAAACTGTAGAAATGACTAGCGAAAATAAAGTCAAATAATATCACTCAATGGGAGGTTGATTTTCCGGTAGAATAAAATGTCAAATTATCCCAAATCGAAGAGGTGACTGACATCGACAGCGGCAACTGAAATTGCCTCGGAACAGACAATACAAAAGGTGACCGCAATCAAGGTCAAATACGATTCACTCGAGCGTTGACAAGACGCTACAATTTCAACTGCCGATGCGATGACGAAATGATACGACAACTTCAAATATCGAAAACAAAAGTAATTAGTAATTAAAAAGTAATAATTAAAAGTAATCATCCGATCGGCAACCAAACCGTTGAAACGAGAGTCAAAATCCGTTCAGAGAAACCACTGAATTCCCGAGAAAATCGAACATCTCAAATCACAATATAATGTCAAAATCATACGTCCAAAATAAATTATACAAAAGAGGCTAACCTCCGCCGGGCAGACGATAAGAACTCGCCCCGGAAATCAAAGTACTCTAATGGCGTCACTTCGCCCGACGCTAAGCGTCGTCAAACAGCTAACGAGCGAATTCTGATCGTTGTCGATATTGTGACGTGTTATTTTCCGTCACAAATAGCATTGTTTGTTATTCGACCGTTCCGCGTGTGGGTTTCGAATTTAAAAATCACCAGACGGGAAGTCACCAACCGACAGCGGGAGTCACGAGAGAGATTCAGTATATTTTGTTAATTCTTTTGTTTTGTATCGTCTTCCGGATTGTTTGAATCGAATCTGGCGCCGACATCGTGGGACTGAGGTGGCAATGTCTCCGGGAATCGTCGAGGGACTTCGGGACACTTCGAGTTCGTGATGAGAGCTTCATGGGTCTTCGGATTGCCAGAGGTCGCCAGCTCTCGGGCAACTCTAGGGGAAACGTGACGTAGGAGCCCGGCTAGTTCAATGCGGAAGGGGAAGTGAAGGATTCCACCGAGATCAGAAGGAGGTTGAGTTAAATGGTCCTTTGGTGACAAAATGGTCAGGAGACTGATTTGAAAGGAGGTCAGAGGACATTTGGAGTTAATTGATACTCTAGGATAAATGGTTCTAATTAAATAACGTCTAGAGAAGTCACTGCGCATGCGCCGACAGACTTGGTTCGGCCATGCGAGCGACAGAGTCTAGTTGTCTGGAAACTGATTGGAGGAGTGAACGGAACGAGCAGCCAATGAGCGTCGTTACCGCGTTTTCACAGTCCAGCGTGGTGTCGCTGGGAAAACGAACCTCACTTCCCGTTTGGTGGTTCCAACACACGTTGTGTTTAAGCTATTTGGAGCATTAGATGCGTTAGTTTTGGAGTTTTGGGGAGCCTGATGGCGATCTAGAATGAGAATAAGACCTGTGGAGGAAGCCTTGAGTGGATTCGTCTGGAGGAAGGTCCCGAGGACTCGGAATTGAGGAGTTTTTGAGACGTTTTCCGGAGGCATCGAGGTGGACTGCTGGGTGAGCGTGATGGCTACGACTCCGTATGACGCATCTTTGTACATTTGTCGTGAGTAGGACTCTGGCCAATTTTAGAATTTTGAATAGATGCTCCGTGCATCTTAGTCCCGTAGGACTTCTAGAGTTTCGAGATAATTGCCGGATAGAGTCCTAGTCACTCTGATCAGTACTTAAGTAGTGGGTCTTTTCGTCTCTGTCTCGTGCGTAATTGGAATCATTGTGTTTGATCATTCGCTTTCGGTTGTCTCGCGACATTGATTCATTTCGTAGAGTCTCGGGCTCTCGGGTTTCATGTTGCGAGTAACTATTATTTTATGAATATTTTGGT